ATAAGACATTTTTAATTAAATTTTATTTCAATAAAGTGGTTACTTATTTTTAAACTCATCTTATCTTTTTATATTTTATCTCTATTAAATATCCTATAATAAATATAAATTTATTATTAATAGAGACACTTTTAAAAAAAGACAATGATTGTACTTTAAAAAATTAAAAATGTCTTATAATTTTTAACATCTAATTTTTTAAAAAATATTTTATATTTTTTAACGGAATGAGCAATAGATATCATAAATAATGTGTAAAGTTGCAAAGAGTTAGATGCTGCAAACTAGTAATAACGGTAAATAATTTGCTCGATTTTTCCAGGCAGCAAAAGAAACAGCTTAATCCAAGACAATAATCAATTTAATACAGGGAGGCAGGGACATGATGGCACCGGGTTAACAATTTTTTAACTGTTCCTTTCAATATATTTGTTCAAAAAGTTACACTTACCCTTGCTTATTGAGGCGTTAATCCGTACCAATAATTGATTGTTGGCAGTTTTATGGCTGTGGTGTTCTGATCTGACTCCCGACTTTTGCGGTAAACAGTCAAAAATGTCTTTCCCACCACAGTTTCCGTTATGATATTTTGCTGCTCCTGGCAAAATCCCGTTTTGCTATTTGCGGCCATTTCTGAATTAAAGGAACTCTTTGGGCCAACGAAGTTCCGTCTTCTTATTATTCCTGTGCCACTGGAATATTACTTTAACGCTGCACGCTGCATTACAACTGATAAAAAAGTGAAAATAATGCGAATGATAGAATATACTGCTACTGATTTGATTATTGAATCGACCTGGCTTCATCGGTAACCACCAGCCGCTCGAAATAATGGTAATAAAATATAAAAGTATGCTACTTGAAGAGACTCGCAGGAGCCATGTTAGGTGTTACAACATGGAAGTAGTTAAGGAGGCAAAATCAAGCGACACGCGTTGATCCTATGATCCTATATCTATAAACACAACACTTCACTATAAAAGTAAATGTTCTCTCTGTCAGTGTCACCGTCGCCCCTTTGGAACCGCACCATTTGTCCTCTTCACTCCTTCCCATAACATTCCCTCCCTCCTCATTTTCAGGTCACATCACTTCTCTTCTACTCTCCTCCATCAACCACAGTACCATATTTCATTCATTGCTCCGCCCCAAGCCAAAAAAAGAGAAGACGTTTCACATGTGCTCTGGGCTTCTTGTCAAGCATTTTGGATCTGGGCCCAATAGACTCAACAGATTTTTCGACTTGGATTTTTCATGTTGATGATCCATTTCTTCCTGGCCTAGTCCACGCTCTGGGAAAGAAATAAAAAGAAAAATGTTCCTCCTCTGGTCCTACATGTTGAACTCAAAAGATATTTGTTTTGATTATATTTACAAGACATCTCAATAATTATTGTATTTATTTTTGTCAGTTTGCCCCTATTAAATGCTAGATTATCTTATTTTTAAAATATGTATATTTAATAAGGATAAATATAATCATTCAAAAAAATAAGCACAAAGATAAAAAGTTATTAAATTTTTAGATAGGATCAATAAAGTTTAAGGTTTTGGTTTTCTTTGGTTATAATAAAATATATTAAAAGTAATTTATAAATAATAATATTCTTTCATGTTGTAATTTTTTTCCTGGGGGCCAACTTTAATTCACAGTTATAATTGAAGGAGCGAAACTAGGAAGGGGTGGGATCAGGTTAAAGCAAGCAATGAGAACATTATCGCGTCCGGGCAATCCATGGGCGCTCAATCAGAACCCTAATTTAATCTTTAAAAAAAAAAGGTGATTATGAAATCCAGAATAAGTGAGATGGTTTACACTGAAGGCCACGGAAATTAAGGTCATAAAGAATGGGGGAAACTTGTCGGCTAATCCTTCAGCAGTCAAATGCACTTTCCGGGTCTTTGTGAGGAAGGACCCTCCATAGCCCTGAGTTCATTCCACTCTGAAGATGTAGATTGATATGTAGTTTAAACTCATACTTAACTAATACGATTTAGTTAATTGACATGATCAAGGGGAAAGAACAGTACATGTTATGAAAAGCTAAAGGAAAATACGGAGAAATAGATGAAGCCGAGTGGCATCGGCTGCGTTGTAGGGCCTTTTTGGGACATGAGATCCATTGTGGTTTAACTAATGTAGCTGTTGTGTGTATATTAAGTACAAGCACCGCGAATAATGCAGCACGTGATGTGCTTCTATATCGCATTGTTTTTGTTTAAAATCTTGATGGATCTATTATTGTTCTCAAAGACTCCGTAACCATTATTCAATTGTGCCCTCCTGACTTTTAAACGAATGATTAATTAGGCCTAAGGAAGTAGCCTCAGAGTCCAAAGTTATAGACCACACCAGTAGACTGTTGGCTCCTACTTCTTAAGCTGGCTGTGCTGCTTTTACCAGCAATTTACTCATTCCATATCCACTTCGCTTCTGAGTTCACATCCCACGCAACCCACCATTGTTTTCTTTTCTTTTTCTTTTTTTATAAAAAAATTCACTTGGATTGATTTGGGAGTCACAAGAAATTAAGACATGTCCCTGAACTTCAAAAATATTTATAAATTATCTACTAAATAAAATTATCATATCAACAATAAATTTGATTTTACAATTTTGTAAGTTGCAAGCTAAGGTGAATCAGCTTTATTTTCTTTTTACAAGCCTCACATTAACTTCGAAACGGTGCTTTCATCTTCTTATACGGATTTTGCCTTTTCCAATGTATTGGTAACAGCAAGTCGAGTTATTGAATTTTGAAATGAAGCTTTTGAACTGTAAAGGCAGTACGTGCATGAAGGAAGGCACTGGGCCTTTGACCCACAAACAAAAGCCCCAAAACTTAGCATAGGTCAGGCCACTCAGCTTTTAATGGGACCGTGAAACCATCATTGTCTTAATGATTCGCCCAAACGCAGTCCTTCCTGTGAACTGTGGCCATGCTTTTATTATTTTATATAAATAAGCGTATCTGATACTTCGGGAGCCATGGAAAAGAAGAAGAAGAAGGAACCAGCGCTGTTGAGCGATACCGACGAATGATGATGGGGAGCACGAGCTGGTTGCTTTTGACACGTGGAATCCTCTTCATGAGTGATTTGAGCTTCGCAATTACAACCAACTTCAGCTCAACCCAGCTGTTTGGGAAGGATTTATACTTCTCATCTTTCTGCTGGAAACATCAAATCCAACAATGATCGTAGCATGTAATATAAATTAAAATTTGTTTTATAACCGTCAATATACATTTTTATCATTTATTGATATGTGAACTCATTATCATACGTGTAAGAAAAATAGAGATAAAATATTCATGTTTAAATCTCACAAAATGGGGTAGTTATAATATACCCCTTTCAATTCTATCTATAAAACATATTTTAAAAGTAATTTTTAATTCAAAATATATGATACTTTATAATAATCAAACTATTTTTTTTTAATTTTAACCCCTCTTGATTTGCATAAAGATATTTAATGTAATTATATTATTATTGAAAGTTAAGAGTAAAAATAAAAGCATTTCTCACTTTTTCATGATATTAAGAAAAAAATTAATTTTTCTTAATATACATTAAACGATTAAAATTATCCTATAATAAAGATTGGATGGAGCAGTCTTTGGGAGCTTTTTTGATACAACATTTTCTTACCAAATTGTCATGCGAACATTTTGCATAATAGGTGAAAAATAATTGTCATTATTTATAATCAAATTTATTAATGATTAAATTTATAGTTGTTATGGGAAATTTTAAATTTTAAAACTTTGAATACGTTTCTCTGTTGACAAAAAAATTTTTCCCTGGCAGTCTTGTATTTTATTGTGGACTTTGCAACGTACTGGGTCACATACAGACTAGCCCGATGACTGGCCCAGTTAACCCAACTCATGTTGCATGCATATCAGCCCAGATAATGCAATGAGACTTTTATCGAAATTGTCATTGTGTTGTATTGTTGCTTTTGGCAATGCATGAATAAGATAGTTTTAACTTTAAATGCCAGATTCCCTGATCCAACAATTTTCCTTTTCACATCTTTTTGGAATTTGATCACAGGAGTAAGGCAGCCACTCCCGATCCCCGAACGCCTCATAATCTCATGGACGAAGATACCTTCTCAATTTCTATTTATAAGTTATTTTTAAGTGATCCAAGCAAATTAATAAAAACTAGTTAAAATTAGTCGTGTCCCATTTGGCTGGACTTTTTTGTGTATACCTGGTAATTCATAGTATTTGGTTGCATATCATGGTATTTCAATCATTTTATTTTTATGATTATTAAAGTAATTCTTTTTAAAAATATTATCTTTTACCATTCCAATTGATACCAAACGGGTAAATATAAGCCTTTTTGTTTTTTTTTGGGATACTTTTTGTTTCATTTTTGTCTTTTTAAATGTTTAAAGAATCAGTTGCTAATATTTTTTTATTATTCCTTTATTTTTTACTAAATTTAATTTATTTAACACATTAATTAGGGACAGCTCCGACAATATATTGAATGCTTTAATGTATTAATTAAATGGCTCTTTGAATCATCTCTCCAGAATCTTCAATAATTCAACACCCACAGCTTAACAACCTAAGCTTTTTTGTAATAAAGAAGAGAGCATGTTTGGTTTTTACTTTTTACATTATAAAAAGCTAGTTCACCAAAAATAAATAAACATAAACGTCATGTTGTGGAAGGAAGAAATTTTTGTTTTTGGAGATTTACTTTATTTAAAAAAATACGTCAACCAAAATTTATCATTAAAAAGAAAAAAGGCTTCTTAAAAAGATTTAAACAAGCCCATAGTCATCAAAATCCCGCACCGGAGAGATATTCACTGGGCAAACCGAAGCGAAAAAATCATGCAGTCGCGGGCTGATCTTTGAAGCCGAGCAAAGGGCCAGATCTGGTTGGGCCACTTTCTGCCCTAAAGTGTCTCTCAAACGCCACCATTGGCTAAACTTAAAAGCCGACATTTCATTTTTCATGTCTCCCTGGTTTCCGTTCTCGCCTCCCTCGCTCTATCGAGGAGGAGGCCTCGGTTTTGTCCTCCTGACCTGGGTTCCCATCCCACTCTCCCAGGTCCAGCCATATCTAACTTCCGCTTCTGTAGTTCTCTTTTCCCCTCAACCACCATTTCAGGCAATCTTACTTTCATTTCTGCAGAACTCTCTTGCTTAGTGGAGCTTCTGGTTTTTCTGTCTAATCAATTTGCTCTCCTTCGGTCATTTACTCAAGCATGTCAGCGAAGTGGCGGGCTCTACAGCACCGCCATCGCTACACCTACAGCGCCGTAGTTTTTCCTCATTCATATGTCAAGTCCTTGAATAAGTTGCTGTCCCATGATTCTTGTTCAAACTTTCGCGCCAAGTTGCAAGAATTAATCTTTCTGAATTCCACTTTTGCTCAAGTCAATCACGTCAAAGAAGTAGCTTCGGCTTTCGGGGATTTGTTACTTCGTGGAGACGAAGCGGCAGTCTATGACGCTGCTCGGTTGTACTTGCAACTTTTATTTTTCGAAAATTCTGTGCCATTGCATAGAACTCTGATCTCTGTTTTGGCAAAGAGTCGGACCTTTCATTCTCAGCTTGGTGAGTGCTTTCGGAAGCTCTGCGATGAGCTCAGCGGTGGGCAGGGAAAGGGGAAACGTTTCTGCGTGTCCCGGGCGGCCTTGTCCGTTTTGGGTATGCCTAAGTTGGGGTACCTGGTTGAAGTTGTGGAGGATTGTGCAATATTAGTAGCTTGGGATATAATTTTTAGTTTGAACAGTGTGATTTCTGAGACAAGTGAATGGGCTCGCCCGTCGCCAATTGTCATGGAACAATGCCAAGAGGCTCTGTCTTGCATGTATTACTTGCTCCAACGTTTCCCATCAAAGTTCAAGGAATTGAATATCTATGAGAACGGTTTGATTCAACAAGAGTCGAATGTTATGGAGGGAATTGTCGATGTCATTTTGAGGATATTGAAGTCTCTCGCGTTTTCAAGAGATTGCTTCGTGGCTGCGGGGGTGGCCCTGTGTGCGGCTCTGCAAGTTTGTATCAGTTCTCAAGAGCTTGGCTTGGTTGTAATTCGAGGTATATTTAACATAAGTACATCTAATTCAGATGATAACGGCAATAGTGAGTTTAAAAATGCCATTGCAAAAATTCCATTTAAAGGAGATGTCTATTCAGAAATATGTAATCTTTCTGTGCTAAGTAGACTCTGTTTGATCCGAGGGATCCTCACAGCAGTGTCAAGGGACTTGCTTAATACTCATCACAATGTGACAACCGATGCTTTGAATGGTCATGGGGCTCATAAAGATGCTGGACGCCCAATTAGGACTATATTATACGACGGAATTTTACCTGAACTATGTAACTACTGTGAGAACCCTATTGACAGCCATTTCAATTTTCATGCCTTAACTGTGATGCAAATCTGTTTACAACAGATAAAAACATCAATTTTATCTAATCTGACAAACCCTTCAGGAAACTACGACCCTATTCCTGAGAAAATGGGGATGCGAATACTTAGAATTATTTGGAATAATTTGGAAGATCCTTTGAGTCAAACAGTGAAACAAGTTCATCTCATTTTTGATCTTTTCTTGGATATTCAATCATCACTCTGTTGGTCAGATGGTGGTGAGAAAATGAGGACATTTTTGCAGAAGATTGGTTCAGATCTTCTTTACCTGGGGTCTCGATGTAAGGGAAGATATGTTCCTTTAGCATTGCTAACTAAGAGATTGGGAGCCAAGACATTGCTAAATATGCGCCCAAACCTGCTATATGAAACAATACAGGCATATGTTGATGATGATGTCTGTTGTGCTGCCACATCGTTTCTCAAGTGTTTACTTGAATGCTTGCGTGATGAGTGTTGGGGCTCTGATGGCATTGAGAGTGGGTATTCTGTTTATAGAGGACATTGCCTTCCCCCTGTACTGTACGGGCTAGCTTCTGGATTCTCAAAGCTCCGCTCTAATTTGAATACTTATGCTTTACCGGTTTTACTGGAGTTGGATGTTGATAGTATATTTCCGATGCTTTCTTTCATCTCAGTTGGGCCTAATGATGATGAAAGTAGGGTTCTGTATCCTGAACTTGCTTGTGCAACCATAGATCTGAATCTGGAACAGAAAATTGCAGTTCTAGTTTCATTGCTCAAGGTATCTCGATCACTTGCTATGATTGAAGGGGACATTGGTGGGTGTGAAAATCCTGTTGCTGACAAACAAGAGGGCCAGGGAACAGAAAGTTATGCTCTTGTTTGCATTAAAGGAATAAAGGTTGAAATCCTTGTTCAGTGGCTAGTGAAGGCACTGACCCACGTGGATGAGTCACTTCGTGTAGATGCTGCTGAGTCTCTTTTCTTAAACCCCAAAACTTCTAGTCTACCTTCCCATTTAGAGCTGACTTTAATGAGGGAAGCCGTGCCTTTGAATATGAGGTGCTGCTCCACAGCTTTCCAGATGAAATGGAGCAGCTTGTTTCGTAAGTTTTCTCTAGGGTTCAAACTGCCTTGGAAAGGCAATTCAAACAAGGAAGTTGGCATCCTCTCAAGTGTTATAAAAATTATGAAGTCTGTCCCTCTAATGGGAATAAGGAAATGGTGCTTAAAAGGGCTGATGATCTTTTTCACTTTATGAAGTGGTTCAGTGGCTTCTTATTCTTCTCATGCTATCCTTCTGCCCCGTATAAGAGAAAAATAATGGCCATGGAGCTCATATTGATAATGATAAATGTTTGGTCTATCATGCCATCGTCGATAGAGGAATTTGATTATTCTTCATCAGGAAATAATCTCTATCCATATGATGAAGGAATCACTTCACCCAATTCAACTCTACTTTTAGTTGGTTCTATCATTGATAGTTGGGACCGGTTGAGAGAGAGTTCTTTTCGCATATTGCTCCATTTTTCCACCCCACTACCTGGAATTTCAAGTGATGGCATGCTGATGAAAGTAATTGCTTGGGCTAAGAAATTAACTTGTAGTCCACGTGTAAGGGAGAGTGATGCTGGAGCTCTAACTTTGCGGTTAATCTTTCGGAAGTATGTGTTGGAGCTAGGCTGTTTGATTGAAGCCTCATCTAATGCTGTTCGTTTCACCCCAAAGCCTGAATTGGCTAACGACACTAATCAGTCTGGGTTCAACAATCCTGTGGTACTGTATATGAAGTCAATGATTGATTGGTTGAGTGTTGCTGTGAGAGATGGAGAAAGAGATCTTCCTACAGCATGCCAAAACAGCTTTGTTCATGGTATATTACTTGCTTTGCGATATACTTTTGAGGAATTGGACTGGAATGCTGATGTCATATTAACTAGCATCCCAGAGATGAGACATTTGTTGGAAAGGCTTTTGGAGCTTGTCATGCGGATAACTTCGTTGGCATTATGGGTGGTTTCTGCAGATGCTTGGTATCTGCCTGAAGATACGGATGAGATGATTGATGATGATAATCTTTTAATGGAAATACCAAATCAGGAGCATGAACAGATGCCTTCATCAGAACATGAAAGCAATGATTCAAAGCTTTCTAAGGATGTTAGATCATCAGATCAGATTGTCATGGTTGGTTGCTGGCTTGCTATGAAAGAGGTACATCACTTGAACATCGTGTCTATAATTGCTAATTTTGTTGATTTATGATGCCCAGATATTATTTCTTCTAAAAGTTACTGAAGAAAATAATAAGTCATGGTTCCAAAGTAGCATCAATTGTTGATTATTTCATTGATGGTGATAATATTTTTTTTACTCAATAAATGACGAGATGGGGTTGCTTTTACAAATTATTGCTTGATGCTTTTCTCATCAAAGGATCAACTAATAGTCACCCATCATGTGATAGCCCAGCCTTTATTTTTTTTATTTTTTGTTCAACCATCATTTTTTTAATGTTCGTTTTTTAGGTGAGCCTTCTTTTGGGGACTATAATAAGAAAGGTACCATTGCATTCTGATTTATCTGAGTTGGTGGGTTCATCTGTTGACACTGCTGGTTTTGCCTCTGATGCTGTGCTCGATCTGAAACAACTTGAAACAATTGGGAACCACTTTTTGGAAGTGCTATTGAAAATGAAGCACAACGGTGCAATTGATAAGACAAGGGCAGGATTTACAGCTCTTTGCAATCGCTTACTTTGCTCAAATGACCCAAGGTAAAAATATAGCTGCTCTTATTTTGTTTCTACTAAAAGCTGAATAAGATCTGTATCTTAATAAAAAGTTCATTTTTTTTCCTATTTGATAAACTATCGATCTTTTGTGTTTATGATTAATGTATAACATGATTGTTTTATCATGCCTAATGATTCTATTTTATGTTATTACCATATGTCAAAAGAATATGAAATTGAAAACTATCTTCATTCGAGCACTAATAAAAGAAATGATATGTAAGAATCCCAAAATTATTTTCAGCCTAGCGTGAATTAAATCTGACCTATCAAATGATAAAACCTTCTTTCTCTTTTTTGTCTAGTTTGTCAAATAATTTATGCCTCTAGTAAGCGTTTTTTGGTGCCTCAATCATGAATCTATGTGCAGCTGGGTTTTTACTGCTTTGTATTTTCTTTACTTACACCATGGTGTACACCATTGCATAGTGGACTAGTGTATGTAGTGCGGGTTTCAGCACTTGGATGCGTTCAAATAATGAACTCTGGGGTTGTGCGTGTGCTATTTCTGTGCATAATAAAATAAGATATGTGTTTGACTCAAGTGAGAAAGGTTATTTGTATCGTATCATTTTGACTGTGCACGATATTAATTATCACAAGAAGTATCTTGGGCCTCTGGTAAATATGTCTTCCTTTCCAGACTTTGTAGGTTAACAGAATGCTGGATGGAACAACTTATGCATAGAACTGTGGCCAAAGGACAAACAGTGGATGATTTGTTGAGAAGAAGTGCAGGAATACCTGCGGCATTTATAGCTCTGTTTCTCTCTGAGCCAGAAGGCACACCAAAGAAGCTCCTTCCACAAGCATTACGGTGGCTTATAGATGTAGCTAGTGGGTCTATGCTTAAAAACATTGAAAGGGAGAGCAACAATGATGACACATGCAAGTTTGTGTCAAAAGGTTGTGGCCAAGGAAATGTGTCTTCACAGGAAGCTGAAAGAAATGTGAATCAGAGATCATCAAAGATCAGAGATGAGGGTGTCATTCCTACAGTGCATGCATTTAATGTTCTTAGAGCTGCATTCAATGACACTAACCTGGCCACTGATACATCTGGTTTTTCTGCTGAGGCTTTAATCATCTCTATTCGCTCTTTCTCTTCCCCTTATTGGGAGATTAGAAATAGTGCTTGTCTGGCATATACTGCATTGGTTCGACGGATGATTGGATTTCTTAATGTTCATAAGCGAGAATCAGCACGGCGCGCAATAACTGGGCTCGAGTTTTTTCATAGGTATGATTTTGACTATTGGTTGTATTGTCTTGTGTTCACCTATTTTGTTCGGTGCATTTTATCTGAACATTTTTTAATAGTTTCACAAGTGAGATGATTGGTGTGCCGTTCAAGAAACGTTGTTGTTGATAGTGACACACCCTTGAATAATGTTTGTACAACCCTGATGTTTATCTACTTACTGGACAAAAAAAAAAATGCTGCCTTTGTCCTAGTTTATAATCTATTTTTTTTGGGGAAATTTAATATTCCAAAATGTAAGACACTTTGACAAAATTAATGTTACAATTTCCATTATATTCTCTCGTTAATATTCTTTCACAAATGGTGTTTTAAATGAAGGCCATTTTTGGATGCTTATATTTTTGTTTTGGAAAACTAAGGCTGTAAAGTGTATTTAATGAGTTTTATTGGTATGTGTGATTTTGTCTAAAAGTGTCTTTTAAATTGGTACAAAGGAAGTCCTCACTTGTTAGTGCTAATGCATGAAAAAGCAACTTTATTGTTGACTTCTACAGAAATGAAAACATGAACGAAACAACAAAGCCCCCCAATGCCTCTGCATATCCAACTGAGACGCCCCTTTGAAATAACCATAACAAACTAAAGGGATGCCAAACACACAATCTTGTCCTACTATAATTGCAGAGACCACAAATCACCATTAGAACTGCAAGCATTTGTCTCCAATAAATTTCTTAGGCTTTTTATGAATTGAGCACAGGTTGAGATTAGAGACAAGTATTTCTGAGAATCAATTTGGTTTTATGCCAGGTAGATCAACTACAGAGGCGATTTATCTACTAAGGGGATTAATGGAAAAGTATCGTTGTAAAGATAAAGATCTACACATGGTTTTTATTGATTTGGAAAAAGCTTATGACCGTATACCAAGAGAAGTGCTTTGGAAAGCGTTGGAAAAAAAGGGAGTACGGATTGCTTATATTAAAGCCATACAAGATATGTATGAGGGGGTAAAAACTAGTATAAGAACGCCTAGTGGTCAAACAAAGGATTTTCCTATAAAGATTGGACTACATCAGGGATCATCTCTGAGTCCTTATTTGTTTAACTTGATTTTAAATGTTTTGACGGAACATATTCAAGAGGAAATCCCGAAATGTATGCTCTTCGCGGATGATATAGTTCTTATAGCAGAGACAAGAGAAGAGGTTAATTGCAAACTTGAGTTATGGAGGAGGACATTGGAGTCGAAAGGTTTTCGTCTGAGTAGAAGTAAGACGGAATATTTATATTGTAAATTTGGTAAAGGACTATTCGAAAATAATTTGGAAGTGAAATTGGGAGATCAAATTATACCTCAAGTGGAAAAGTTTAGATATTTGGGAGCCATTATTCAAAATGATGGCGAAATCAGTGGAGATATTTCACATAGAATTCAAGTTGGGTGGTTTAATTGGAGAAAAGCTAAAGGAGTTATTTGTGACCGTAAGGTGCCTAATAAACTTAAAGGAAAGTTTTATCGTACTGCTATCAGACCGGCAATGTTATATAGTAGTGAATGCTGGGCTCTAACGGGACAGCAAGAGCATAAAGTTGGAGTAGCAGAGATGAGAATGTTACGATGGATGTGCGGACATACACGTAAAGATAAAATTCGAAATGAGCACATACGCGAAAAAGTGAGGGTGGCACCTATTGAGGAAAAAATGGTAGAAAATCGGTTGAGATGGTTTGGGCATGTACAAAGAAGACCAAGGGAGGCACCAGTGAGAAGAGTGGAACATATAACTTTGAGTCCGATTAAGAGAGGTAGAGGAAGGCCTAAGAGAACACTCTTGGAAGTTGTTGAACGTGATCTCTTAATTAATAATATTTCTAAAAGCTTAATAAATGATAGAGCACAATGGCGTCTTGCAATCCATGTAGCCGACCCCACCTAGTGGGATAAAGGCTTGTTGTTGTTGTTGTTTATGAATGGAAAACCTTTGAGGAACATTTTAACGAATATTGGTTAAGCTTGTCTATTCAGTATTTGGTAACTGCAAGGTACATTGATTCTTTTTCTTTGGTTTTTTTTCATTTTGAGGGAAACTTTTTGTCATCTTGGAATAACATGACAAAATTAAGACATGATACCGTAATGACTTGTTTGAGAGACGTAAAGTTGTTGGTTCATTTACACAACAACCAATTGAACAAGAATTTGGAAAACCATTTGATGATTGAGTTTTTTTCCTCGTGTATTTTTCATGTTATGTTAGGGGAGTATCAAGTAATGATTACTACTAGTAGATATCAGTTCCTAATAGGAAGGGTACCAGTACATTCTTGGTACGCAAGATTTTTCTTGTGATTGTAACCCCTGACATCTAGAAAAGAATTTGAAAAATAGATAAAATTAAGACTATCTTCAAACTCTCTTAAATGTTGGGTAAAGTGCATTCTAGATTTAATTTGATCAACTGATCGATGTGAATCCTGAAGATAGTAGTGGATTGAGGTTTTAGGGTCACAATTGAACTAATTATGACGTTGTTCCTTATTTTGTTTTCCCATCTAGTGGGATAAGACTTGTTGTTGTTGTTGTTTTTTATTTTGTTTCCTTCTTTTTCTGTTCTTTGCTTTTGTTAGGAAGATATTGAAAATTAAAGAATCTATTGGAGTTTATGGAGATCCTATGTTTCTGCTATTTCTAGTTTGATGTTGATTTATTTTATTTCTTTTTGAATTGTATTGACTTATTTTAACATAATTGACGACATCTTGATACTCCTAGAGATTCGTTACTATATAACTAGTGGAGACTAGCCAGCACTGTGATAATTGAGAATTGAGAAATTAAAATTATACCATCTTGCATGAAGGTATCAGCAACAATTACCAGGTTCTGTGCTGTAATCTATGTATTGGCTGTTTATCAGTTATCCGTGATCAGATCTGTGAGGGAAAGGTTCACCTGGCATCATTTTGTCCATCTTAATATTGCAGGGAGAAGTCAAATACCTTTATGGGTATTATGCCCAAGAGGGCATCATCAGGACATGGATGAATAAGTTTGCCTTTTATTTCTTTACAGTCTATCTGCCTCTATTGTATTGAGAACTGATCTCTGCAGATCGGAATTGTAATCCAGTTCTGGAGATTCTTCATGAGATCCTGGCCACTAGATTTTTAGGACATCTTGTTTAAAGTTTGTGTAATTACCTTAAGCACCTGCCATACAATTATTTGAAGTTCACATCAAATAGTTGATTTATTAACATTTGGGGGTTCTCCTAGGTATCCACCGCTGCATTCATTTCTGTTCAGTGAACTTCAAGTTGCAACTGAGTTGCTTCAGCCCGCATCTTCAACAAGTTTAGAATTCAACCTGGGAAATAATTTACATCCGAGCTTGTGCCCTATTCTGATTCTTTTGTCTAGGCTCAAGCCTTCATCAGTCACTGGTGAGACCGGAGATGAGCTGGACCCTTTTCTTTTAATGCCATTTATTAGAAAGTGCTCTATCCAAAGTAATCTGCGAGTTCGAGTTCTTGCATCCAGAGCATTAGTCAGTCTGGTATCAAATGAGAAATTATCTTCTGTTCTTCTGGAAATTGCTTCTGGATTGCCCTGCGTGGAAAGCCTAGTCATCTCAGCTCCTTCTTCCAACTTGACATGCTCAATTCAAGGCTCTGGTAGTATGTTCAACTTAATTCATGGGATTCTATTGCAGTTGAGTTCTCTGTTGGATACTAATTGTAGAAGTCTTGCTGATAACTCAAAGAAAGATCATATCATTGGTGAATTGATTCAAACTCTTATACTTCGGTCATGGATTGGAAGGCCAACTCATTGCCCTTGCCCTATCCTGAATGCTGCATTCTTAAGGGTTCTGGATCAAATGCTTAATATTGCAAGAGCATGCAAAAGTGGCCAGCATTTCTACCCTGTTCGGGACTTGCTTTTAGAATTATCTGCGGCATGTGTGGATTCAGAATCTTCTTATGGCTTGTCATATTATGACCCAACCATTGCTGATCTTCGTGAACAAGCTGTTCTGTCTTATTTTGGTTGTTTGTTTCAAGCATCTAAAGATGAGGAAGAGGTCATCTATGTGCCGCTGCTGAGACATCATTTTTCCAATCCAAACTTGTCTCCAACACATGAAATAGATAATGCCTTTGATGGAATTTTGGACAGGTTGATTCACTGCTTGTTAGACTCAGTATATGAAGTTCGACTTGCAACATTAAAGTGGCTATTGAAGTTTCTGAAAGCAGCTAAATCTGATGGTCAGGTCAATGATCTGTCCAGTAATGACATCAGGATTATCCAGACCTGGGCAAAAACTAACCTTCTTGCCACATTAATGAAGATTTTGGCAGCAGAAAAGAACCATAGATGTAAATATTACATTTTGAGGATCATGCTTGTTTGGAATTTGATGCAGTTTGAAAAGCACGGCCATGGCAAATGCACTGGAACAAATTATGTTGGTGAGATGGACTTTGACTCGGTGTTTCAATTTTGGAATGAATTAGTTTCCTTGTATCAGCAAACAAGGCATGCAAAGATTCGAGAAACTGTGGTTTGTTGTTTGGGTGTATGTATTAAGCAAGCTGCAATTTTGCTCACAACCTCTATTCTGTCTGATGAAGAAAGAGGCAAGTTTGCTGAATGCAGCGAGATTATCCAAGAGGAAAATTTCAGTCCGCTACAAGACTGCATTGTTTTCTTCAGTAGCTTGATTAAACAGCATAGTTCCTCATCTGAGCCAGCAAGCATGCGAAAGGCAGCAGCAGAATCCTTGATAGCTTCTGGTTTGCTACAACAGGCCGGGCACATTGGTTTCCTTGTGTCCAATCAACACAGTTCCTTGTACACTTCATCTTTTGAAAAAAAGGAAGCTGTGACTTTGTATGCTCATCAAATACTTGATGTGTGGTTCACTTGCATCAAGCTTCTGGAGGATGAAGATGATTCAATTAGACTTCATTTTTCATTGGATGTTCAAAAGTGTTTTACTTCAGAGAGATCCAAGAGCAGTCCTCCTGAATTGGTTCCCGCCCAGGTAGATAGAGTAATAAGATTCTGTTTTGATCATCTCTCTTCTGTTTTTGGTCAATGGATCGAGTACGTAAATTATCTTGCTCAATGGGTATTGCATGCTGCAAGCTATGTAGCATCCCAGGGAGATCTTGTGCGGCGGGTTTTTGACAAGGAAATTGACAATCATTATGAAGAGAAGCTGTTGATTTGCCAAATTTGTTGCTCCCAGTTGGAAAGGCTACCTAGTTCAAAGTCTTGGGCTGTTCATCTGGGGGACAAAGATGAGTTGAGGAATTATTTTCATGGATGGAGAATGAGGTTTTTCCACCAGTTGGTGTCCTTTGCTGAAGACCATGTTGGGAAACAGGATGGGATTGATTGGATAGGAGGCGTAGGTAACCATAAAGATGCATTTCTGCCCTTGTATGCAAATTTGCTTGGTTTTTATGCCCTCTCAAACTGCTTGTTCCATGTGTCTAGTGACAACGAGGCTGTCCGATTCTTCTCCGATGTCGTAGAGCTAGGTAGAACCATCAAACCGTTTCTTAGAAACCCTTCAATTGCTAACTTATATACGTTAGTGCTAAAATCATATGAAAAAGTAACTGGTGATGTTGCTAACTCCTTCATCGTCGAGTCTGCTGTTGACTCTATCTGGGAGAGCTTCAATCCTTATTTTCTTCTTGAGTAGGATTTGTATGCTAGTTAATTTTCTCAAGTGCAAGCCATTTTATGTGGGGCTTGGAGGAATTTTGACATAGCTTCAGTATATATGTGTGTTCAGTGATTGTATACAGAACATTTGTGACTATACCAGCTTTGTAATGGATTCATCCAATGTTACAGGCTCGATTGAGGCCATTGACCTTACTGTGTTTCGTGTGTTGCTGTTGTTCCACCTGTCTCTGATCAACTCGCTGTCCAGTCTCACAGTTTGTGTCGTGGTTCATCGAATCACGCATTAGTTGATTCAAATTGCCCCTAATCGCTATTTTTGTTTCTAAATTCTAATAGATTTCAGTAATTGCTCAATCTCTCTTTGTATCGTTTGTTAGTAGTGCTTAAACATGCGAAAGTTATTTTAAATACACTAAATTATTTTTTATTAGAATTATGTCATTTTAATATTAGAGGTATTGTTGTCTAACGAAGCACAAGTGTTGATTCTATTTGAAGACACATTAGATATAATTATCTCATTCTATCAAATATCTTTCTACTTCCTATTTCTATTTTTATAAAATTATTCCATAAACTGAACATGTCCTTACATTATTACCCTTAAATAAGCATCGCTAAATCCTTAGATGTCTTCTATTTTTTATGTGAAAATTCACGATACAAAAATTAATTTTTTTTATGTGAAAATTCATGATACAAAAGTTAATATTTTTAAAAATAGTAAAAAATAATTCTAATGAACTTTAAATATGCTAAACAAAATAAATCAATAATTTAATATGTTTTATAATAAGATTTTTATGATGAATCGTTTATTTTCATTTTCTATTTTTACACCATTGTCATCTTAACCAACAAAATGAAATATTTATTCTTTTTGATAATATATCAAATAAAATTGTTGTATTATATATATATATATATATATATTTATAAGCTATTGTATTATATTATTTTTTCACATTTCTATCCTCAGAACTCTGATTTTAATGAGCTTTTGAGAGATAACTCATTTAAATTTTTTTGATAAGAAAAAACTCTTTCATAAGACAATAAGAGTACTTTGAACATTTATTTTTATTTTTGTATTATTTTCATCCTCCCAAACTCAAATTTGGAGCTAAGCTAAATGCCTATTTTTTCTCTTAAATATACTAAATACAATTATTTTATTTTATTTTATTTTTCAAATTTCATTCACATTCTTCTTTTTTTAATTGGTACAAATCTCATTCTCATTCTCAAAACGCAAAAATAATTCCGCAAAGCAAACGAGGCCATATTCGTGTTCGTCCTCTACTTCGGATATTTGGTATTTCTCACTGCATATAGAGGCCCTTATCTGCCCCCGAGTCTCGACCTCTTCTCTGTTTTGTGGAGCTCGTCGTAAATTTTGGTTGCCTGCACCACATTTTAGTAATTTTATTCAGAATAATTCTGAGAAATGCTTGTGCCAGCATGCAATTTGTTGTCTCAGGGAACTCCCGCAAGCTGTGTTCTTAGCCGACGAGAGCTCTTCTTCGATGGCTTCTCCTCTCTTTGTACTCATTCCCAAGAGTTGCCTAACAAAGCCGTTGCTTCCCAACCCATCTCCCTTTCAACTTCAAGGTTCCGCATATTATATTTCCATTCTTGAAATTATGTATAAGAATGTTGACAATTAACTCATAAATGAATCACCCTAGCCAATTATTTCATACTTACAATGGATCTACTGGAAAAGTTGCAAGCTTTGTGTGTTGTCATTGTCCCCTAACATTATATTTTCATTGTCAGTTTTATTTTAATGGGGTCATAACCTTTTTTATGCTTATAGGACTGCTAAAGATCAAAGACAGGATTTGGGTGCAATGTTAAGCAAAATTATTGCTTCTCCAACTCGGCGGGTGTTGTTAGCGAGTTGGACTATGTATTCCAGTTTCCATCCTTCAAGGTACTTGTCAGGTCCGCACGGTTCTGCTTGTTTGTCATTAATGATTAAACTCACTGCTAGAAGCAATTTCTTTCTTAGTGTGGGAAATTTATACTGAAATGCTAATGGGTTGGCTTCAATATCAGCTTGTAAACTTTAATTGTCACCAAATTGCACGCCTAAAACCATGTGAGACGAACAATAATGGAAGTTCATTCATAATGGACAATAGTGATATAACATGAACCTAGAACATAAATCTGAGAGTGTAACAACCTCCCTGTACTATTTGTCAAGTGCTGCAGGCTGCGAATTGTCTTGCTAGCTAGTGAAGAATTATAGTAAAAAATTGCTGTGGTTTCAGCTCATATTATATCACTTCATCTTGGATTTGTAAAATACACGAGTTTATTGCCTTGCATTTCTGGCTAGGTGTTAACCAAGCGGTTATTAGATTCAAGATTGCAAAGGAAATTGCTGAAAACAAAACCTTTGCCTCTCTAATTGTCTGGGCAATTTTTTTCTCCTAAAGTTTCCTCAAAATCTATAATTCTTCTTGGGACATACCTAAAATTCAAATTCCATATATGATGAACCCAGTTTAGAATTTAGCCAAAATCTCATATTGCTCTGATTAAAATTCTCATGTGATAAATTTTAAATATAGCTCAAGCCTTGGGGGATCCATCAGTTACACTTGAACAGGTTACCCCTCTTGTGTTTTCTTCTGGGCCTCTGTTCCCCTCTGAGGTCAGCTTTCATTTATATCTGTGGTTTTCTGTCTTTTGAGATTCTGGTGCCTGTTTTCCCTTTTTGTAGCAGTATTCCTGAGAGATTATTCCATTTCTTTTGATATTTAGGATCGAATTGTCCAACTATTTGAAAGGAACACGTATTCTGTTGTTAACATCTTTGATGTGACATTGCGTCCTCAACTAAATGTAACTGGTGTGGTTGAGGTACTGCTCTCCATATTGAATGCCTCAATCATCTCTTTGCTTTAAAGCTTGGTTCCATTTTTTGGCATAATAAAAATGTAACTGTTTTTGGACTGATGCTGGCAGATTCCAGAAGGAAATGGTTCTGGAGTAGTTTGGGATGAGGAGGGGCACATTGTTACAAATTACCATGGTGAGAAATGAGATTCAATGGAAAAAAATAAAGTTTCTTTTTTAATATGAAGTAACTTTCTAGTAGTTACAGAGCAGTAAATATATGCATTTGACATTATATCTCTTCAAAAAGTTTTGGGTGAGTTGTGTTCTGATGTGCATAACCGTTAACTCTTGCACGTGTTGACTGGGCGCCTTGGCCTTTAAATCATTTTAATATTATCCTGAGGTTTCCTTTTATTTTAGATAAAAATTTGGAACATTGCAAATCATAAAACAAACCTTTATCCTAAGCGCTATTAATCACATCAATTTTAATGTTATTTATCTGGAGTTGATGAAAGTTCTGGCATCTGGCATATCTTTTGATTCATCTTTTCTCCATGCTTTGGAACTTTCAGCTTCCTGTTGTTACAGGTCTAGCTTACTTGCTGTGCTTTCCTGGAGCACTGTATGTGCTGAATGCTTTTGCATATTTTTGTGCGTCCGAGTTAATTAGTCAGTTAAACTTTAACCATGGGAAGATTTCTGACTGCTATATTCTCGTTTTACTCAGTAATTGGTAATGCCCTTTCAAGAAACCCAAGCCCTGGTCAGGTCGTTGCACGAGTTAATATCCTAGCATCTGAAGGGTGAGGTGTACAAAGACTTTACATCTCTTCATATACTTCCATTGCAAAGTTAATAACCATTCTGTCATTCCTGATAACCTGACTTCTTATTTGTTATAAAGAGTGCAGAAGAATTTTGAAGGCAAACTTATTGGAGCTGACCGAGCAAAGGATCTTGCTGTCTTGAAGGTATGCATTCTTTTTTATTTTTCACCATTGTTTCTCATTTGGTATATAAATCATGTTTTGATTATGTTTGTCTCAATCAAAATTGTAAATGTGGTTCAAGGTGAAGATGTCTCTTTGTTCCCATGTCAATGTAGCATAGAAGTCGTGGAATATTAATAAATAATAACTTTCACAAATATAGGTAGAAGCCTCTAAAGATCTTTTAAAGCCTGTCATGGTTGGGGAGTCTTCTTCGCTAAAAGTTGGGCAACAATGTTTGGCAATTGGAAATCCATTTGGCTTTGATCACACCCTCACAGTTGGAGTTATAAGCGGACTTAACAGGGACATTTTTAGTCAAACTGGTGTTACAATTGGCGGTGGTATTCAAACAGATGCAGCCATAAATCCGGGGAACAGGTTACAGTGGGCTTCCTTCCTTATCTAAATTAGAAATTTCGTTTTTCCATTTATTTTACAAGTATCTTCTTGGCTGTCTTAGAGTGATCCTTGTGCAAAATGTTTTTCTTAATGAGTATCATAAAATTAGTGGCTCGAAATTATGTCACCACCTTTCTTACTTGTCCTGTGACTGTCATAGTGGAGGTCCTCTGCTGGATTCCAAAGGAAGATTAATTGGGATCAACACTGCAATATTTACTCAGACAGGCGAGTTTTTTCATCTTTACTATTTTTTTTATAAAGAAAATAGAACAAGTATCAGTCTTACATTCTTTTTGTTTTTGTTTTTTTTTTCCATGAAAAAAATGTCTGCATTAGTTCTGTCTGTGTCACTGAGATTGTTTCTTCTCCTCTTGAATTTTTCTTTTTGGTTTTTCAGGAACATCAGCTGGTGTTGGATTTGCCATCCCATCTTCAACTGTACTTAGAATTGCTCCTCAGTTGATTGAATTTGGAAAAGTGAGTAGCTAATGGAGCCAGGCACTGGCTAATTATATTCCTCGTGAACATAATTTCGTGCTTCTTACTGTTAGGTTGCAGCCTTTTATATTCACCGTGGGCAAGATGTTTTCCCTTCTAGTGTTTCATCAGGAACTGCGTTAGGAAATATATAACAAGTTCGTGTTTCCTCAATGTAAGGTTGTTAGAGCTGGCTTAAATGTGGATATTGCTCCAGACTTGATTGCAAATCAACTTAATGTTCGAAATGGAGCCCTTATACTTCAGGTAAATCCAAGAGTTCTTGACTATTTTCTACTTATGCTTTTTTCCTCTGCAATTCCTTTTAGGTTTTTGTACTGTAACTAAAACTTGGTAAACGTATTGGTTTCTAAAAAAAGATCTGATGTGTAAAAAAACTTGATAATTTCTTAGGTTCCCGGAAATAGTCTTGCTGCTAAGGCCGGGCTAAATCCCACCACTAGAGGCTTTGCTGGCAATATAGTCCTTGGGGATATCATTGTTGCAGTTGACAATAAGCCAGTGAGTCGTCTCGAGCAAAATCTGTTTTATTCACAGTTTTTACATATATCATACATGTTCTTCAGGAGCCAAAACATGTTACTTTTACATTACTTAGATTTATCTTCTCTTAGAAAAGCCTTGTTTCTTAAACATGTCAAATGACCAGGTCAAAAGCAAAGCAGAACTGCTGAAAACGTTGGATGAGTACACTTTAGGAGATAAAGTAATTTTAGGAATTCAGAGGGGAAGTGAAAAGTTGGAACTACCTGTAGTTCTTGAGGAACAGATATCTTGAGATGACATGTCACTGGTGGCGGTTGCAAGTTTACAACCCATTAAGCAGGCTGATTTTTTGTTCTGTATGAAGGGCCCTGGCCTTGTATCAAATATGCCATGGCATCCTTGTACCATTTATGGAAGTAGTTTCATTTTATAGCTTAATATGATCATGTCTGACAGAATTGAGATACTGTATGCTCAACTTATTTTGGAAGTCCTTGCTCCTAGGGAGACCAAGACATTTTTTTTTTCTCCTTCCCTTTAGGGTTAAGGGGCAAAAATGCGCCAAAAGTTTTCTAAAAAAAGTTATGGATACCCATACATTTTAGAAGGAGCAATGTTTGCCTTGTAAATGTTAAAAATGGAGCAATTTTGTCCTTTCCTAACCTCTGACAACGTTTGACCAGCAGAGTTTTTTTAACCAATGAAAATGATACAGCTATCACACTCTTCCTGGTTATCATCGTGAACAGACTTGATTCATTTTTCTTAACCACTGCAACGATCTCTTGAGCAAGAGTCCTGAAGAACAAGCTTGTCCTTATTGCCGCCATCTTCGTCATTCTTGTTGCGGGCCTTTGTAGCTAAACCAGCACCAGTTTTGAATTAGGAGCTGCTTCTTTAACTTTTTCTTTTTCTGATTTATTTCCTTGCTGACGGTCTCTTTTGTAAGAGATGCAGCCAAATCTAAAGCATTTTGGGCTGTAGCAATTGCCTTAGCTATTTTTGAAGCTTTTATTTATTATTATTATTTTTTTAGCGACAGCTCTTGTAGCTTCAACAGTATTAGTTGCGGCCACTGCAGCTGTTTTTTGAGGCCTCCACAATTTCCTTTGGTGTAAGGTTAGGGTTATTTGAGTGACGGCTGAACAAATGCTTATTAAGATGAGCTTCAAATTCACTTGAGGACGAAGAGGAAAAAGATAAAGCATCCTCAAAAGCCGTTACACAAGAAGCAGTACCTGGGGTTGGAGAGACGGTTGTAGCATCACCATCTGAACTCTTTTTTTTTTTTTTTTAAGTCTAGCAAATAGGCATTTAGGAGGAGGCAAGAGAATATCAGCATCTAAGCGATTGACATCGCATGCGTTCTTCATCCTCCAATGAATCTTAGCATACAAGTGTTTTGATGGATTATGAAGGAGGACCAGTATTTTGATTTGGGGGTTTGCTTTGGAGTTCTTGGTTTTGATTTCAACTTGGGTTTCACAAGATTGCCATGTGGCATGATAGTTGTATCATCTTTATTGGTTAAAAAATTCATTAGTCAAACATTAATTAGATGTCAGGAAAAGACAACATTGCTCTATTTCTAATATTTTTAGGATAATATTGTTCTTTTTTAAAAATGAAGGTGCTCGTAGCTCTTTTTAAAAGAATTTTAGAACGGGTTCATAAAAGAAATATTCATATCATTCCCAATCAATGACAAAGGGCTGGTAGCCTGTGCAAAGAAGGCAAAAAACACTTGTCGGTGAAAATGGATAGCTCTCCTTGCTTCGAAACTTCTCCCACCGCCACCACTAGATGAGGATCGCTCCATGAAGAAAGTCAAACTGCGTAATGAAAATGCTGAGCCTACTTCTGATTTTATGGATGCTGTTAATGAAGAGGCGTATGAAGATGTTCATGACGACATGGAGGCGGACGTGACCTGTGTTTCAGCTGATGAGGAAGACCATATTTCTGCTACCCAATCTCTGGGTCTTGTTCCTGAGACACAGTTTACATAGAAGTCGTGATGACGGAAACTCAGAACCACCCTCAAGTGAAGATCCCTTCGTTTAAAGATAAGCTACTCAACGGTGGAAGTGCAACCTCTGAGGAAGATGGAGATATTACCCTCGGTAAAGATGATGTTTCATTTGAAGTAAACGATGGCATCCCATCAATTACTTTCTCGTCCCAAGTGCTGAGTGTTCTAGATAAGAAGATGGGTTTCTCCGTGGTTATCAAACTACTTGGCCGTAAGATTAGCTATCGTCAGCTTCGCATGCAGCTCCAGCTAATCTGGCGACCTTTAAGACTGTTCCAGCTCAACGATGTCGATGATGAATGCTTCCTAGTTAAGTTCAGTAATGAGGAAGATTTTCAACGAATTTTAACTACCGACCCTTGGGTTATCTATGGTCATTACCTGACTGTTCAACCTTGGACTCCTTCCTTCAAGCCACAAGAACATGTGATCAATCATGTGATTGGCTGGGTTCGTCTCCCTGGACTTCCTGCTAGATATTACCACAAGAGCATCATCCGTTCCATTGGAGGTGTCTTCAGCAATGTCCTAAAAGTTGATTACAATACTGATTTTGGGGATCGACGTAAGTTCGCTAGACTTGCTGTGTCCATTGATCTAACAAAGCCACTCATCTCGAAGATTAAAGTTGACGGAAAAATCATTTATGTTGAATATGAGAGTCTCCCGATGATTTGTTTTCAAGGTGGAAGGTATGGCCATACAGAGGAACGTTGCCCAGAGAGATTGGTCATGCAAGATGGAGCTGCTCAGTTGCAGCGGCAACCGGAGGTTGCTCCTCCACCACCCTTCGACGCGCGTGCGAAATCCAAATACGGCTCCTGGATGAAGGTACCACCAAGGTACAAAAAGAGGTACGAAAGAAGTGGCCTGAAGAGAGGAGGTTTTTGCGTGATGTGAGATCAGGACAGGCTCCAAATTTTATGTCCTCAATACAGTCCAAGAAATGGATGACCATGGTCCTGAGGTGTACGATACTGTCAGACCTATCCATATTGGGATTGGCACTTCCTCTAAACGACCCATAAAAGAGAAAGCCTTTTACAAAAGGAAGGAGACAACACATAAACATAAGGATGTCATACCTGAGGCTATGAGCAAAGACTATGTTTTTAACTCCCCCAGCTATAATGCCTTGATGGCCCCCACGACTTTAGACAGAAAGAATCATCAGGTGATTTCAATTCAAGATGAAAGGATCCCAACTAGACACACCTGAATTTGGGCCAACCTTCAGTTAATGAAGCCCAACCCACCATCAATATAGATCTACCCCAATGTCCTAAGCCCCCAGATCCGCAAGCTGACAGCAGAGGCTTTAAGCTGTCCTCTGGTCTCAAAATACATAACTTCAAGGACAAGCCACATGAACACGAACCAGGACCATCAGTGAAACTGATGAAGGAGATGGCCAGACATGTGCGCACTGAACAGGTTCAGGAAGAAGGTCATGACACGGTTGCCATACTAGTAGAGGGAGTTGATTTCAACTCTAGTTCTGAGCAATAAAATAATTTTGTATTTTATTATATCCATTCTCATATGGAATTGTCAGGGGGCTTTAGATAAAAGGCTTCCCTCAATTATTAAATCCTTTATAGATAACTATAAGCTTGAAATTCTTGTCCTTGTAGAACCTTGAATTTCAGGTGTGAAAGCAGATAAAGTCATCAAGCAAATTGGTCTCCCATACTCGCATAGAGTTGAAGCTATGGGTTTTTCTAGAGGCATTTGGGTTCTTTGGTCCTCTGCAGTAGACATAAAAGTTTGGGCTAATCACTTCCAATTCATACATATGGAGATTAACTCTTCTTTATTTCCTAGGAATTTTTATTTCATAGCTGTCTATGGTAGCCCACAAGCTCGCTCTTGAAAATGGTTATGGAAGGACTTGTGCTCTATTACACCATTAAGAGACCAACCGTGGCTTTTAGCGGGTGATTTTAATGCCACACTTTCTGTTAATGATAGGAAAGGAGGAGCTGGACGTCCTAACACTGGCTGCAAGAAATTCAGAAAATTCATTGATCAAAATGGGCTAATAGACTTGGGCTTCAATGGGCCTAAACACACCTGGCGTCGTGGTATACTTATGGTTCGCCTGGATAGAGCCCTTTGTAACTCCAATTGGTTTCATCTGTTTCATTCTTCAAGGGTTGATCATTTGCCCAAACTTCTATCTGACTATCGACCCATTCTTATCAACTTGGGACTACATCAGTCTTCTGCAACCCATGAAAAGCCTTTCCGTTTTTTAGCTTCTTGGTTAACGCACCCAGATTTTAATAACTTGATGTAGAGATCTTGGGATCAGCAGGGCTCTATTATCGATAATATCCAAAGGTTCTCAAACAATGCCCGTATATGGAATCAAAGGGTATTTGGCAATATTTCTAAGAAGAAAAGTGCTTACTCTCACGAATTCTAGGAGTACAAAAGAAACTTGAAACATCCCCCTCCTGTGACTTCCTACTCAATTTGGATGATCATTTAAGGGAGGATTATGAAGATGTATGTTTGCAGGAGGAGCTTCTCTAGCAACAAAAATCGTCTACTGATTGGATGAAGCTAGGTGATAGAAACACTTCTTTTTTTCACACTAAAGCCTTGATCCGCAGAAGGAAAAATCGTATAGCACGTTTACAAAATCATCAAGGCGACTGGGTAGAAGATGACCAAGAAATCTCTAACATAACACTCTGCTATTTTGAAACATTGTACTCTCTAGATGATGAGATTTTCACTCTATACAATATCTCGGGTAAGTTCCCTCAAATCTCTGACTTGTCAACTGATGCTTTAAGTCAGATGATTACTCTTGAGGAAGTCAAAAGGGCCTTATTTGACATGAAGCCAATGAAATCTCCAAGTGTTGATGGTTTACGTGCCCTATTTTTTCAAACTCAATGAGATACTATAGGTGTAAGTTTATTTTCATTGGTTAGAGAACTTTGGTAGGATCACCCTTTAGACCCTTTACTAAACCACACTCTCATTGCCCTCATCCCAAAAATTGATAACCCCAAGTGCTTGAAGGAATTTCGTCCTATTAGCTTGTGTACTGTGATCTACAAGGTCATAACCAAACTGATTGCTAATCGTATCAGCAATGTGCTTCTAGATATTATTGCTCCTTTTCAATCAAGCTTTATCAAGAGCAGAAGTATAGTTGATAATATTATAATTGCCCAAGAGGTTGTTCACTCGATGAGGAAAAAATCAAGGAAAACTGGGTGGATGGCTATTAAAGTTGATCTAGAAAAAGCTTTTGATAAATTAAGGTGGGATTTCATAGAGGATACCTTAAATGATGCAAAATTTCCTAATCACTTGATCCGCCTGATTATGTCCTGCATATCCACTACTACTATGCAGATCCTATGGAATGGGAAACCCACAAACAGCTTCACTCCTATGAGAGGCATCAGGCAAGGTGACCCATTATCCCCCTATATTTTTGTCCTTTGCATGGAGAGACTATCACAAGCAATTGTCACGGAAGTAGATAAAGGAACCTGGTGCACAATCAGGTTGGGAAGAAAAGGTGTCCCACTATCCCATCTCTTCTTTACGGATGATTTGATTTTATTCAGTGAGGCTTCAGAATCTCAAGTTGAGGTCATTTCTAAAGTGCTGCAGCAATTTAGTATCTCTTTCGAACTTAAAGTCAGTTACTCGAAGACTCGAGTATATTTTTCCAGAAATGTTCATTCAAATATGAGGAATTCTATCTGTAATAAACTTGGTTTCAAGAGTACTGATTCATTGGGTCACTATTTGGGAGTTCCCCTCATCAATGGCCGAGTTACTACTTGTACCTACAATTACATCCTAGAAAGATTACATCAGAAACTTTCTAGATGGAAGAGTCACTCCCTTTCTCTGCCAAGTAGAATAACTTTTGCAAAATCAATTTTTAACTCTATCCCGCTCTTCACAATGCAAAGCTCTCTTTTGCCTATTTCAACTTGTAGGGCAATTGAGAAAAGTGATTAGGAAATTTATCTGGGGGCATACTGAGGATCGCAAGAGAATTAGCCTCATCAAATGGTCTGACCTCCGTCAGCCCTTGGCAAATGGTGGCTGTGGCTTACTTAATCTGAAAAGTCAAAACAAGGCCTTCATCTCCAAGCTGGCTTATAAGATTGTCTCTGAACCAACCTTGTTATGGGTACATGTCTTAAGGGGAAAGTACAGACTTCTTGAAAAATCCCCGCTTGAAGTTCACCGAAGGAATTCCTCCTACCTTTGGAGAAATATCTCACAAATTTGGAAGGATATGTTAATGTTCATCAAATGGAATCCTCAGAATGGAAAGGATATTAAATTCTAGTCAGACTATTGGGTGGGAGATTATGGTCCATTAAAGCTTCTTGCCTTTACAACATTATCTGATTTTGAGCTTGTAAGACCTATTGCTCACTATTTAGATCATATGAATCAGTGGAGATGGCAACTTTTTGATTAGATCCTACCTACACATATACTCAGTGATATTGCCCAAATTAAAATCAATAGGAATAGCAGTGACCCTCCTTGCAACTGGACACTCATTGCCAATGGCAAGTTTAGTATTAAATCCTTCTATAGAGCATCCAACTACACCAACTGGAATGATTCTGATGAGAAATGGAAATATATCTGGAAATTACCAATGGCTCAGAGGATTAAAACTTTCTTATGGCTATTACTAAAAGGCAAGCTTCTCACTAATGTTGAGCGAAATAGAAGAGGAATGAGTCCTGATCTATCTTGTCTTTTATGTCCTGCTGCAGAAGAATCTATTGATCACATTTTCAAGGATTGTAAATTAGCCACTGGAGTCTGGAAGAAAGTCTTGCCAAATGATATGCGTGCTGATTTCTATATAAGTAGTCTACATCATTGGCTTACAAATCTGCTAACAAGTAAGAGCATGGATATTTCTTGGAAGATTGGTGTTAGTGTTTTATGCTGGAAATTCTGGACAACTCGCAATTGTGGTATCTTTGCGGGCAACACTTTCACTCTAGAAGAGACATTACGCCATGCTAGAATCATTGTTGACCATACTTTAAAGGCTTTTGTTCTTTTCAATACTCTAATGTAATTTTGTTTTCTGCTTGCTCTCATTTGTCTCTTTTTATACTGGTCCTATGTTTTATTTGGACCTTTGCCTTCTTTGTCTTGATTAATGAATTCCTTTTCACTCAAAAAAAAAAAATTTAGAACATTTTTGCCCATTAATCTTTTTCTTTAAAGGAGGATTGATTTCTAAAAGTTAGAAAATATTTTTCATAATTATAACAGGTCCCCACAATCTAGAAATACAAGTCATCCTTCTCTCAAAACTCAAAAGTCTGCAATAATTAAGCGCATGATTGAAAAATGGTTTGTGTAATATGGTAGTTTTATATTTTTGTATATCTTTAAAGAAAAATAGCAATAATTTTATTATTATTATTATTATTATTATTATTATTATTATTATTATAGAATATTTACATATTATACATCTTTATCATTATGTAATGTTCTTTTCTTGCTACCAAATGCCTTTAATTGCAGCCTTTATCAATATAGATTATCAGTAAATAACCTAATAACCTAGAGACCTTAAATCACGAGCTGTTTAGCTTTAACTCCCTTTCCCCGAAAGATCGTTTGGGTTTTACTTTTAAACTAGTAAATTGTAAAGGGTTAAGCCTCTCTCTCTAATTATTTCATTAAATACCGCCAGAATAATTAATTGAAGCAAAAAGTCTATCGAACATTTCTTAATTATGGATATATATATATATATATATATGTATTTATCACATTCTTTTAAAAAATGTATTAATAAAATTATGGTGTTGTTTCGTATTGAGAAAAAAAAAATCCACACAAATAAGACATTTCCATGTTATTTCGTATTTTTT